AAAAAAAAAAAAAAAGAATAGCATGTTAGAATGATAACTCTATGTAATTACTTCAAAAGCAAATGGCTACCTCCTTCTTTTTTTCTTCCATTATAAATCAAAAGAACCCAGGGTGATGGCTCACACCTGCCTGTAATCCCAGCACTTTGGGAAGCCAAGGCGTGAAGACTGCTTGAGCCAGGAGACCAGCTTGGGCAACACACTGAGACCTTGTCTTTACAAGAAAATTAAAAAATTTGTTGGGCGTAGTGGTACGCACTTGTAGTCTGAGCTACTCCAGAGTGGAGGCTCACTTAAGTCCTGGAGGTTGAGGCTGCAATGAGCCATGATTATGCCACTGCATTCCAGCCTTAGAGACAAAGTGAGATCCTGACTCAAAAAAAAAAAAGTCAAAAGAGAATCATAAATCTTACACATTCCTCTCTCTCATGTAAAAATGTCTGAATTTCTTTACCTTCAAGAGAATCCCATATTCAGCAAAATCTGGATCAGTAAATAAATCAGCTATATAGGTCTGTGTAATAGATTATGACTTGGTATGAAAAATACCAACATTTCTCTTAAAACATCTATTAATATTTAATAGATATGCTAGGAAAGAGTATATGTTTTTAAAATAAAAATTAGCTAAAAGTTATGCCAAAATAAACATTACTTGAACAGCATGAGTCCTGGGAACAAAACATGATCCACGCAAGTTATGAAAACCAAACTAAGCATCAACAGCTCAAGCATGCCTAAACACAGCAGGCCCCACAGAATTACCACCATAAGTCCAGGAATGTCTGAAGTAGATGCTTCCGTTCAGTTGTCATATTAAAAACATACCTATTAGAACCACATCCTCAGGGTCCATGCTGTTCAACTATTAAGCTTTTATAATAGGCATATGTAGGAATGAAACCCAAGTCCTTTGCTGAAGTCCAAGTTTTCTTCTGTTACAGTAAAGCCTTCGGATTATAGCTATGAACAGTTTTATGAAAGAAACCTGAAATTTCAAGGAAGTACAAATTGAATTTTTCTCCCTGCTTTTCATGTGCCCCCACTGGTGACAGTACCTCCGTTTTTAATGATAGTCCACTGTTAAAGAATATTGTAGCAACAGCAATGTAGGATACAGTAATTTCTGGCTTCAGTGGTCCTAAAAAAAAAAAATGAGTTACTGTTAGAAAAGAATTTCCAGTAGATAACTTGGCATAAAAGAAAGATCTATTGCAGGAGACCAAATGGTACTTTAATTATTAGTGTTGCCCCTAGTGTCCCACTGTCCTGACAGAGGTCAGCATTTGTGTCATGCAGCCTATCTCCAAAGAGGATTTTACAAAAGGTGAGGACCATGGCTATCTGGTTCAGTACAGTATCCTCAAACCAGAAGAATAAAAAGTACACAGGAGAGCAGGTAGGTGACATCCTTCAACACAAGTTCCTAATTATATCTATCATCATATCAGTGCTTATAAAATGATCAAAATATCCCCTAGGCCAAAGAGGAGAATCAGTAGAAGACATTCCCTTCTCTTTAGCAAATATTATTTTATTCCTTCTAGGATGCCAGAAATAAAAGCTTGTAATCATATATGCATTCAGTTCTACCAAAGAGTATTCATTCTACAAATACTTATTGAGCACTTACTATGTGGATGAAAAATGCATATAGAGAACTTAATAATACATTCCTATGACTGTAATTATTATTCAATTGTGCTAGACCCCGAGGATACTAGGGTGAACCAGACAGGCCTGGTTCTTGCCTTCCAGGAAATCCTGTCTGGAGTTAGGTTGGCAGCATTCAAATGTGTTAATGCTGTAAGGACAATAGAAGCAACCCTGATACTTAAAAGTATCACTTGTGACTTGTACACAACTGGCTTGAAGACCTGATGCTCTAAAGAACATTCTTTCTTTTCTTTTAATTTTTTTTTATTTTAAAGATGTGGGGTACAATTCAGGGTTAGGTATACAAATGTTCATTATGCAGGTACCCTTGTGGATGAGGTGTGCCCTCCAGTCCCCCAGCAGATTCCCACTATTGTCAATCCCACATCCCCGCCTCCCACTCCCCCATACCCCCAGCAGTTTTCCACTACTGTCAATCTTTTTCTTATGATATTACAATAATTAGAATGATGTTATTTCAAAAGATTCTGGGGAAAAAAATGACATTTTATGTCTATATAACCTGCGTTTCTCCAGTATCAGCAATTTTACCCCCCTCCCCTCTCCCCAGACCTTTGGCAATGTTTAGAAACTTTTTTGGTTGTCATTAATTCAGGGAGTAGAGTATGCTACTGGCATCCAGTGGGTAGAGATCAGGAATTCTGCTAAACATCCTGGAAGGCACAGGACAGTCTCTTCAATAATAAAGTACCATGTTCAAAATGTCAATAGTGCTGAGGCTGAGAAACCCTGATACATACCAACATCTTAAAAGTTAAGAACATCTCATATTTGACATTCTATTTAGCCATCATGTACTGGATTGAGTAGTGTCCTCCCAAAATTCATGTCACACAGAACCCATTAATGTGACTTTATTCGAAAACAGGGAATTTGCAGATGAAATCAAGTTAAAATGAGGTCTTATTGGATTAGGGTGATTGCTAATCCAGTAACTCCTATTTTTATAAGATTATAAAAAAAACTTGGGACACAGAAACTCATACAGGGAAGGTGGCCGTGTGAAGACAGAGGTGGATACTGGAGTTATACTGCCACAAGTCAAGGAATGCCAAGGATAACTGACAACCACTGCAAACTAGAAAAGGCAAGGAAGGATTGATCCCCAGAGCCTCTGAAGAACACCTTGACATCAGACTTCTGGACTCCAGAACAGTGAGAGAATAAATTTCTGTTGCGCCACGGCATGTAGTTTGTGGTCATTTGTTATAGGAACCTTAAGAAACGAATAAATCCCATAGGAAAATGACAGGACCACAATCACGGCTCCTCCATGCCCTGAAACCTTCTTCTCGCTCAATAAATGGACAGAAGACTTAGCTCAGGAAAAATCACCATTTATTCATTCAAAAAGTACTTAAAGAGTACCTACTATATATTAGGCATCTGCAGTACAACAGTGAATAAAAGAAACAAAGATCTCCTCAAACACTGCAACAAATTATTTAATATGCCTGGCATCTGTACAAGGCACTTTGCTAAGCTCTGAGAAAAGCAAACAAAAGGGGGAAGGCAAGTGCAAAAGGTATGACATTTCAGGGTGGTAACGGCTGTTCAGAAACTTTTAAAAAGAGGTACATTATCTTATACTTGTGAGTGAATCTGTCTCAGCAGTTCACACCTAAGAAGTAATAGTTCTTCAACAGTTGAGGAGGATGACTCAGGAACAGATTTTAAAGTCAAAGAATCTGGCTAATTTGGGAAGTAGATGCTTCCCAGAAATTTTAAATACCCTCTTTTAAAAAATTCATATCATTTTTATTTCCCTCCAATCTCTTGCTTTTAATGAAACCTTATTCTTGTCTATCATGGTTCCATTCACAGTGGTGCCTCCAAAATATCTATATAGGAGGGGTGGGAGTTAGAAATATGGTTGCTAGTGAGAGTTTGGGGACATGCCCAAAGATGCATCTCTACAACAAACCAATGGCATTTACTTGGATTGCTTGTTTCTTTGGGGTAGCTAAAGCATCTACCTTAAATAATCAACTTCACTTTTTAAGAAGCTAAGGCTAGTCACACTCCACACATACATACATAAATGCACATAAATATTAACTAATTGGCATTAATTCAATGAAATAATTTCTGACTTTTAATGTTTTAAATCCTAGACACAGTATATACTGTCTTTTGTATTAGATACGCATCTAAATAACTCTAATCTATAAATAACTCTAATCTGTGAAAGAACATGGTAAGAATATTCCAGACCTACCTACAATGGGAGAAAAAGGAATTAATTTTGATTTAGAGAAGCCAAGGGCCCCTCTGAGACATAATCAAATGAGAGGTAACAGATTTCTCAAGTTGGGAAGGCAAAACTAGAAGTCACCCAGGGCTAAAATAAAAACTTGGTAAACATTTGCACAGAAGCAAGAATTGAAAGTAAGCTATAAAAACTATATATGTACCCTTCCCAAGTCAATCACTATATCCTCCAAGTCACCAAAATAACCAGATTCAGATCTTAAGATGGTCGTAAAGCTCAAACCAGAAATATGTTTTTACTCTTCCTTAAATAAAAGATATTTATCACAAAAATGGAATGGGTTAGCACAATCAAAAGAAAAATTGGCCAGAAAAAAAAAAAGAAGCAGCAATTTTTGGGTTCTAAAATCTATGCTTTTTAATGGGAGGAAAAAATAACATCTTTTGGAATACTTAAGAATGAAAGGAATTACTACCATTTCACAAAAGCCACTCATCACCAAAGTAAATTTCACTTCCAAATAATCTAAGATATTCTAAGACATTTATACTAATATACTTAAGCTTATAGCATGTTTCTTGTTACGCTTTTTAATGGAAAAATGAAACAATTTCCTTTTGGGGATTAATGTCTTATTAACGGCAAGCATTAAGTTAAGATGCAGGTAGAGGCCATTGCCTTACTAGACTCTGGTGTGGCCATGTGCTCTTGGAGCTGTGGCCATTGTCATGTTTCCTGGCTTTGTCCCCCTCCCCTACCTAGGGGAGGTGAATCTCCTCTCTCTCTCTCTCTCTCTCTCTCTCTCTCTAATTACTTTCTAAATAAACTACATTTTATAATCTAAAAAAATAATAATAAGACGCAGGTAGAAATGGGAAACTTACTCTGTACTTCCAAAGAAGTAACCTTTCTTATCCAGAGAATGAATAGCACAGTGGCGAATTCCCATAAACTCTAAGGTATGCAATAGCTCAGGACTTCCCTAGGTCACACTGGAAACATTGTCAACACCTCAGAATCTGCCTATGTATATCCACTAGGACTTTTTATTTTTTACTTTCTTCTATATATATTTAAAGATGAAACATAATTAAATAAAAAGAGCAGTGGACTAAGAATTAAGTTATTTAAGCTAATATGTATACTTCTGTCCATTTGTAAAGTCATTTGACTTCTCTAATTTTAAGGTTCTCACATCTATAAGTTTCCTGCCATACTAACTAACCAATTCGCTGTAAAGATTTTCTTAAGGAAGGTCAGATCATACTTATTTGTAACACTTTAAGTATAGAAGTCTTATACTTAAAAAAAAAAAAGAATACAGTCATTAAGGTATTAATCCAGGTAAAGGTGAAGCGAGCACCTTAACAACAAATTAAAAACTACCAAAACCTTTCCAATTTAAAAGAATGTCTAGGATGGGTGCAATGGCTCATGCCTATAATCACAGCACTTTGGAAGGTCTAAGCAGGAGGACTACTTGAGCTAGCCCAGGAGTTCAATACCAGCCTAGGAACACAGCAAGACCTCATCTCTACAAAAAATTAACTGAGTGCACATCAGCAGTCCTAGCTATTCAGGAGGCTGAGGTGGAAGGATCACCCAAATCCAGGCAGTGGAGGTTGCTGTGGTGAGCCATGAACATGCCACTGAACTCTAGCCTGGAGTGACAGAGTGACACTCCAACCCCAAAATATGTAATAAATACATTTTTAAAAAGTAAAATAAAATAATGTCTAAAAAATTGTTCAGTTGAAAATTGTCCAATGTGGATATAGGAAAAATCACATTCTCACTGTAGAAAGCCCATAAATGGAAACACTTGACTAAGTTACAAGCCAAAAGAGGTCCTTTAGATCATTCTAAAGAGCAGGACATGACAATATTTTCAGAAGCCATTCCTCTTCTTGTTCCTAGATTTTCGTTGTTCTGACTAGTGGTACGAAAGTGTTATTTGGTACTTTAGAAGTTTGTTTTTGTTTGAGAGGTTTACAGTGGGGAGGTCAATTAAAAACTCAACAGAAGTATCAACAACTTAGCTTGACAGCCTATAAGGGAAATCCCAAACAACTGTTTGCCTAACTGTCGTTTTTTTAGAAAAAGTAACTTTTACACGTTGACAGTATCAAAGAAAGCATATGAGTACATTGTGTCTAATATTAGTTGGTTTTACTCTGCTCCTTTGGGTTAAAAATCAGAGCATGGAAAATGTCTTTATTACACAGAGCCCTTTTTTCTAATGGTTATTCATTTGTAATAATTTTTTTTTTTTTTTGCCAGAACTATTAGCATGAATTTTGCAACTGGTATGAAGTCATTCCTCTTCTATAAGCTAGCTACCTTAACCTAGAATGAGTCACCTGGCCTCAGGCCTCAGTATATTCAACTTATAAAAGTTGCATGTTGGCTTAAAATACTTTGAAAATTCCTTCTGTCTCGCAACATCCTACTCTTTCACACTTAAACAAAGGAATGAATTAGCTTATATCAATGACACAAGGACAAGTAAATGGGAAACAACATTCCTAAGAGACAATAATGTACCAAGACTTCAATAAGCAGAGTCCAAGGGAACAAATAAGATTGCAGCATCTCTCAAACATGCCACTGCAGAAAACTCCTACGGAAATGATTCAGCACTCAAAACCTTTCTTCCCACGGAGCATTCAGGGAATGTAAGGTAAAAGATTTGTTTTTACCAAACTTAGCCCTTGCAGATTTAAACTTAAAGATCACACATCACCTGTAATTTCACCTCAAAATTGAGCAAATAAGAGATCTAACACCGGAAGCTATAACTAGTGAAGTGTGCACTGAGATCACCAAAAAGGTGCTGTAACTTTAATTCTTACTATTCAGTTAGCTCTAGGGAAAGGGGAGTCTTCATTTGACAGAACCAGAAATACCAGCCTTCACAAGTTTCCCAAAATTCAGAGAAGCTGTGTGAAAGAAGAAACTGGTATTTTCAGAGGGAGATGCCATAAAGAATTAACAGCTTTATTCTCACAGTTATATTTTGCACTAAGTTGAATACAGATGAACAAAATTTTACAACAAACAAAGAAGCTTTAATTTCCACAATCTTTGTTTAAATAATTCCATTTTAAAAGTCCTGGGAAACGACTTCTAAATCGAGGAATTGGGTGGAAATTGAGAGGAAAAGGAACCATTACGTCCTTCTGAGAGATAATTTCATTCACCTCCACCATATTTTAATAAAAAGGTACAAATAACTTCAAATATCCTCACGAGTACATCTTACCACAAAAAGACTGTGTGCGTTCACTTCTGTCCTTATTTGCCACCACCACCCCCCCCCCCCCCC